GTCGGATTGCAGATGGCGGAAGTGTCGGAGGATGACGCGTTGGATCCAGAGGTTGGTGGGGTGCTACGTGAGGACGAGGGGGATTCTGTTTTGGTTGCTATTGTTAGGGGGGGGGGGGGGGGGGGTGTGTGTGTGCGTGAGGGATGAGTTGCGGGAAATGCGGGAGACACAGTCGAGGGCGTTCTCGATGACTGACGGGGGAAGTTGCGGTCCTTGAAAAACGAGGACATCTGAGATGTACAGGAGTGGAATGCCTCATCCTGAGAGCAGATGCAGCGAAGGCGAAGGAATTGGGAATAGGGGATGGCATTTTTGTAGGAAGGTTGTCGGTGGGCTTGAAATGGATATCGGTTTCTAGGTGGTTGCCAGAGATGGAAATAGAGAGGTCCAGGAGGGAGAGAGAGGTATCAGAGATGGTCCAGGTGAACTTAAGGTTGGGGTGGAAGGTGTTGGTGAGGTGGATGAACTGTTCAAGCTCCTCGTGGGAGCAGGAGGCGGCGCCGATACAGTCATCAATGTAACGGAGGAAGAGGTGGAGTTTAGGGCCAGTGTAGCTACGGAAGAGGGATTGTTCCACGTAACCTACAAAGAGGCAGGCATAGCTTGGGCCCATGCGGGTACCCATGGCCACCACCTTTGTCTGTAAGAAGTGGGAGGAATTGAAAGAGAAGTTGTTGAGGGTAAGGACGAGTTCGGCTAAGCGGATGAGGGTGTCAGTGGAGGGGGACTGGTCAGGCCTGCGGGACAGGAAGAAGCGGAGGGCCTTTAGCCCATCTGCATGGGGAATGCAGGTGTATAGGGACTGGATGTCCATGGTAAAGATGAGGTGTTGGGGACCGGGGAATTGGAAGTTTTGGAGGAGGTGGAGGGCGTGGGTGGTGTCACGGACGTAGGTAGGGAGTTCCTGGACCAAGGGGGAGAAAATGGAGTCAAGATAGGTGGAGATAAGTTCGGGTGGGGCAGGAGCAGGCAGAGACAATGGGTCGACCAGGGCAGTCAGGTTTGTGGATTTTGGGAAGGAGACAGAAGTGGGCGGTGCCGGGTTGGGGAACGATGAGGTTGGAGGCCGTGGTTGGGAGGTCACCTGAGGTGATGAAGTTGTGGATGGTTTGGGAGATGATGGTTTGGTGGTCAGGGGTGGGGTCATGATCAAGGGGGCAGTAGGAGAGGTGTCGGAGAGCTGGCGTCTGGCAGCGGCAGTTGCTGGAGTCAGAGATAATAAGGTGTAGAGCTGGATGAACACAGCAGGCCAGGCAGCATCAGAGGTGCAGGAAAGCTGTCGTTTCGTTTCGGGACAAATTGCCTCTTCGATCATTAACACTCAAAGTCTGTCCCACCAAACAAGCCACAGATCCTGAAAGATCGGAACAGATCAGATCCCCCGTATCCGGGGAAGGCTCAGGAGAGCTCTGAGACGGGGGCCGGGTACTTGTGGGCGGAGCTCTGTGCCGTGCGCGGGGTCACGTGCCTGTACGATTGACGGCGCCGGTCGGTTTCGGGCTGTGACGCACGCAGGGGACGGGAACGGAGATCTTTGGGGCGAGGCCCTGGCAGATCATGTGATCTTGAAGACGGCCGTTGCTGACACCGCGTCGCATGCGCATTATCACGACCGGTAGTTTCCCGGGATCGGGCTCCTAGATGGATCGGGAGGAGAGATGTTGGCGGGAATTTCAAAGGCTTGATGTGAAACTTGGGAGGATGGATTTATATAGAATTGAACCGTCGCAGCTAGATGATTTCATTAAACAAAATCTGAGGCCGACTAAATTTTTTGAGGACGTGAAAAACGCAGTGCGTAGAATATCTTATTTATTAAGGAATCAATGTTTTAACAATCAACCTGAGATCAAAGTTATCAGAGCCGTTAAAGTAAGCGATTTTGATTTTTTTTAATGCAGCATACAGAATTAATAGTGTTTACAAAAAATTAAAGTTTACAATATTCAGAACTTCAGAATGAAGTTTTTTAATGTGGCTATGATTTTTTTCCATATTACGTTTCCTGTTTTCTGTGTTGTCTTACTTTCTCTACAAAATGTAGAA